TGTTGGTGTTGGTGTTTGTTGATGTTGGTGGTTGTTGGTGTTGGTGGTTGGTGTTGGTGGTTGTTGGTGTTGGGTTGTGGTGGTTGTGGTGGTTGTGGTGGTTGTTGTGGTTATTGTGGTTATTGTGGTTGTGGTTGTTGTTGTTGTTGTTGTTGTGGTTGTTGTTGTCGTTGTCGTTGTCGTTGTCGTTGTCGTCGTTGTCGTTGTCGTCGTTGTCGTCGTTGTTGTGGTTGTTGTTCTTGTTCTTGTTCTTGTTCTTGTTGTTGTTCTTCTTCTTCTTGTTGTTCTCGTTGTCGTTGTTGTCGTTGTTGTCGTTGTTGTCGTTGTTGTCGTAGTTGTCGTTGTTGTTGTCGTTGTTGTTGTCGTTGTTGTTGTCGTTGTTGTTGTTGTTGTGGTTGTTGTTCTTGTTCTTGTTCTTGTTCTTATTCTTGTTGTTGTTGTTCTTCTTCTTCTTGTTGTTCTCGTTGTCGTTGTTGTCGTTGTTGTCGTTGTTGTCGTTGTTGTCGTAGTTGTCGTAGTTGTCGTTGTTGTTGTCGTTGTTGTTGTTGTTGTTGTTGGGTTTGTTGTTGCTGCGTAGTTGTAGTTGTAGTTGTACTTGTGGTTGTTTTTGTGGTTGTGCTTGTAGGTGTAGTTTTAGTGGTGTGCGCCGGGGGCAAGTGGCCCGGCGGGCGCAGCAATTTTGCCACCTGCAACAAGCGGTTGTTGACCTCCGTATCACGGGGTACGTTGGGTTCTTCTTGACTGTTCGGTTCCATTGAATGCTTCCGGACCCGGTCCGGTCCTGGCAGTCGTGTTTAGGGGGGAAAAGGAAAGTTTGTTTGGTACTGGTCGGAAACGGAGTACCCCAGGCCCAGGCAAAGGTGCGGGGGGTCGTAGACCTGGCAAGGGAAAACGGAGGCAAGGCCAAAAACAACCGAAGGGCCGTCGCGGTTGACTATGGACACAAATGGTCGACAAAGAAAGGCTTGCCATTAAACGTGTCGACAAAGTGCCTAAAACTTGTTGTTCCGGTAAAATATGCGTTGTTCTGCCACATATAAGGTACACCCCACCCCATTGATGACAACGGACCAGAACCACACATAGGACTCCCCATATTTAAGTGGTGACATGAGAACCGGCTGGAATCATTCCAGGCTTTGGGGTGATCGGGGCGCTATGGTGTCGCCGCCGCTTCGGTTTTGCTTCATGGAACAGTTTAACGGTTACTTTCACTTCATTGCGACGGCGGGGAGGAAGTTGCACCAACCCCATAAAATGTTCCAGTGAATGGGAGCAGATGCTAGTCTGGCGGCGGCAGGACGGCTGACAACAAAGCAGGTCCCCCTAAACACCTCCACACATCACTCCTCCGGCCAGACCTAGAACGGCGGCTCCAGGAGTTGTTGCTGAGGACGACGCAACTTCAGACACAAGTGCGAGCACAACCACCACAAGCACTATGACCAACACCACCAGCACAAACGCCACCGCCACCCGAACAGCACATGACCCATCTACGGCGCCTGCCCCCGGCCCATCAAACAACCCGACCGACGGCAATGCTGATTCGCCATCCAACACGAGGCAGTTCCGTCAAGCCTTGGCCAGCCTCGCCCGTGTGGATTTGGAAACAGTGCTCCAGCAGAAATGTTTTTCTTCCAAAGGCCACCTCCATTCTTGAAAGGCCGCATCAGACAAGCTCTCACTTCGGCATTAACGTCCATTCTCGAAACCCAAAACCCGGAAAGCAGCGTTCGAGCTTGGACACTTTGGTTGCTTCTGCCCCGCATGCTGCTCCACAGACCGCCGGGCACCAGGATTCTTCCCAAAGCTGATTGGCACCGTCGCATGCACCAGTTCCAAAACGGGCACTGGCTCGAACTTTTGGCGGCAGCACGCCTTGCAGCCAACACGAACCCGGACACAACAACCGTCAACACTCAACCCAGCCCCCAACAGAGGGCGGACCGGGCACGCCACCTGGTGCACTTTGGTGAGCTTTCGGCAACACGGCAAGCACTCACAGCCGGCCCAACGGCACCACGCACACAGCATACTAGACGAATTGCGTGACCCCAGCCGCCGGCCAGCAGCACCGTACGAGCCGCCAGACGACCAGATCACAACTTTCCAGCCTGAGCAGCCAGCCGAACTACCCATGGCCACCATCATCCAGAACCTGCGCTGCAGTCGCAAACGGGCCGCACCAGGCCCGTCGGGCCTCACAGCTGACACATTGCGTCTTCTGCTCGATGATGAACTGGCCACAGTCGCACAACACGTCGCCCGTGCCCAAGTCCCAGCCACCATAGCCTCAGCTCTTGGCTTAGGCCGTGTTGTCGCCTTGCAAAAACCCAACGGACGAGTCCGTGGTATAATCATTGGAGACTTCCCGCGCCGTCTGGTGGCTCGAAGCTTGGCCCAGCATTATGCTACAGCCATCCACGCAGCATGTGCCCTCCACCAATTCGCCCTTTCCAGAAGGGCAGGCACAGAAACAGTTGTCAGAGCCATCACCCTTGCCACCCAAGCCAACCACCAGCACACAGTCCTCTCGGTCGACGGCATCGGAGCGTACGACACCATCTCCCGGACAAGCATGATGCAGGGCCTCATTGGCGTCCCCGGGGCACAACAATGTTTGCCTTTCGTGCGCATGTTTTACGGGATGGTTGGCACAGTGGCCACGCCCATATCCTTTCCCAGGCAGAGGGGAGGGGGAGCAAGGCGACCCGTTGATGCCAGCGTTGTTTTCCCTGCGTCAACGGGGGGCCCCCCAAGCCATCCAGAGCCAACTCCAACCAAACGAGTTGCTGCTGGCATATCTAGACGATCTTTACGCCGTCGTCCAGCCCGATCGAGTTCGAGCAGTCTACGACCTCATGGCCCATGAATTTTTCCAGCACGCCCACATCCAGCTCAACAGTGGGAAAACACGCGTCTGGAACGCCAGTGGCGCCACACCACCAGGCTTGGAACCCCTCGGCCCAGAAGTTTGGGCCGGCAGCCAGCACTTGCTCCCCCAAGAACAAGGGCTCACCATCCTTGGCACACCCGTGGGGTCCGAAGCATACATCCAACGCCAGCTCCAAAACACACGCCAAAACCACCAGCACCTGTTGCAACGCATCCCAGACATCGACGATTTGCAAGCCTCATGGTTTTTGCTATTTTTTTGCGCCAGCCCACGGTGCAACCATATCCTCCGAACCACTGCTCCGGCCCTAGCTGCCGACTTTGCCGCTGACCACGATGTGGCCGTTGCAGGATGCTTGCAACAAGTGTTTGGGGGGCCCGGATCTGCCAGCCACAGCTCTGGCCACAGCCCATGTGCCACTTGCTCGAGGTGGCTTGGGCTTGCAATCTGCCACAGCCACCGCACCAGCAGCATATTGGGCGTGTTGGGCAGACACTCTGCCCACCTATTGCCAGCATTCACAGCACGTGTCCAAGACTTTTTTCCCCAATCCCACCCAAGCCCCACCGTCCATCCAAGCAGCCCACCAAACAGCAGGCACGCTCAGTGCCAATGGTTGGAACCCACCAACCTGGCACGACCTAACAAATGGCACGCCAGGTCATACGAAGTGCTGCACCTGTCACGCAAAATCATCTCAGCAAACCTGAAGATCTGAGGCTCCAAAATGGAACCCCTCTGAGGAAATCAGCGCGCTGACATCCTGACATCTCTGATGAACATGTCTCTTGTATTGCGCCGGCCAAGCGAAATGCATTTGTGCAGATCCTCTTCAAATGTCCGACGCCTGCCAATGTTTTTAAAACTGCTACAAAACCCTCATGTTTTGCTCACTTTTGACAAGGTGCACAATCCCCCGCGCCTACCACGCAAAACGGCATCTGAACGTCCAAAAGTGCACCGCACCCCTTCATTTTTTTTTGGCACTTTTGACTTCGAAATGTGCTTCGCGCCACGACGGCGTGCACTTTTTCGAGTTCTCAACTTCCAAAAGTGGTCCGACGCTGAGGTGCTTTGTACATTTTGCCTTCGAAACGTGCTTCGCGCCACAACGGCGTGCACTTTTTGGCTCCGCACCCGCCGCTTTAGCGAGCCTACTTTTCGACCCTCCGGAGCCTCAAATCATTGGAAAAACACAGTGTTTCGCCTTTTCGCGCATCTGCATCTTCTTTCTTCTGACTCTTTCTCTTCTCTGTTCTCTCTCTTCTAATCTCTCTCTTCTCTCTGCCTCTGCCCTGCTCTGCTTTCATCTGTCAATATTGTCGGAAGTTTGACTTCTAAACTACTTTCGCTTCAAACTTCCTTCGACAAAATCCAGCTCAAAAGTCGGATGGAAAACGACAATTTATGTTTGATAGCATGCTGGATTGCTCAAATAGATTCCAAACCAACCTTAAACACACTTCAAACCAAACTTACACAAACTTCGAACCAAACCAGAAAAATCTTCAAACAATTTTTTAAATAGATCCTCAGCAAACCCTAAACAGATTTTAAACCAGTCTAAACAAATTCCAAACCAACCCAAAAACACGTATGTTAATGGTACAGGTGTCGAAACACATGGACATGCAGTCACGCAGAACACTTTTCTGCAATAGTTTATTGGAACAGGCTTGTACATATTTCCTCTGTTACCAGTCTGCGGTGTGGAGTGGAAAGTGTAGAGTGTGGAGTGTGGAGTGTAAAGTAAGGAGTGTGGAGTGTGGAGTGTGGAGTGGAGAGTGTGGAGTGTGGAGTGTGGAGTGTAGAGTGTAAAGTGTGGAGTGCAAAGTGCAAAGTGTGGAGTGTAAAGTGTAGAGTGTGGAGTGAGGAGTGAGGAGTGAGGAGTCTAAAGTGTAAATTGTGGAGTGCGGAGTGGAAAGTGTAGAGTGTGAAGTGTGGAGTGGAAAGTGTAGAGTGTGGAGTGTGGAGTGTGGAGTGTAAAGTGAGGAGTGTGAAGTGTAAAGTGTGGAGTGAGGAGTGTAAAGTGTAGGGTGTGGAGTGTGGAGTGAGGAGTGTAAAATGTAAAGTGAGGAGCGTGGAGTGTGAGGTGTGGAGTGAGGAGTGTGGAGTGTAGAGTGTGGTGGAGTGTGGAGTGTAGAGTGTGGAGTGTGGAATGTAGAGTGTGGAGTGTAGAGTGTGGAGTGTAGAGTGTAGAGTGTAAAGTGTGGAGTGCAAAGTGCAAAGTGTGGAGTGTACAGTGTAGAGTGAGGAGTGAGGAGTCTAAAGTGTAAATTGTGGAGTGTAGAGTGGAAAGTGTAGAGTGTGGAGTGTGGAGTGTGGAGTGTAAAGTGAGGAGTGTGGAGTGTAAAGTGTGGAGTGAGGAGTGTGCAAAGTGTAGAGTGTGGAGTGTAAAGTGTGGAGTGCATTGTTGCGCCAGCCACACAAAAGAACTTTCGACACGGTATAAAACAGGTTGGAATGTCACAAAGTGCCACGCCTGCCACGCAAAACGGCATGACAACCTGCTTGAAAACATTCGAAAAGGAGAGATTTTGTAACTTCCCTCATAGACACGGGGACGCCACAGGAAAACCAGAGACTCGAGACGAGACAAAACCTCCACGACCCAAAGTGCACATGTGAGACATTAAGTCTAAAAAGTGCAATGTGGAATGCAACATGTACACCGTGCGCTGTAAAGTGTCGCCTGAAGTGTTGCGCCTGCCATGCAAAGTGAAGCTGGACATGTCCAAAGTGCTGCGCCTGCCACGAAATGACAGCGAGTGACATGTAAAGCGTAGAGTTTAAAGTGTGGAATGAAAAGTTTGTCTCCAAAATGTGGCTCGACATGACAGCCTGCTTGGAAACTTTCAAAAAGGAGAGGTTTTGCAGCTTCCCCCACAGACACGGCGAGGCCACAGGAAAACCAGAGACTCGAGACGAGACACGTGGGCGTAGAAAAAAAAAAATCGTGGGAGACATCCTCCAATTTTGTCACTTTCGACACGTTATCAAACAGGTTGGAGTGTCACAAAGTGCCACGCCTGCCACGCAAACCGGCATGACAACCTACTTGAAAACCCTCGCAAAGGAGAGATTTTGTAACTTCCCCCACAGACACGGCGAGGCCACAGGAAAACGAGAGACTTGAGACGAGACACGTGGGCGCAGAAAAACGACAATTTCGTAAGAGACATCCTCCAATTTTGAAACTTTCGACCCGTAATCAAACAGGTTGGAATGTCACAAAGTGCCACGCCTGCCACGCAAAACGACATGACAACCTGCTTGAAAACCCTCGCAAAGGAGAGATTTTGTAACTTCCCCCACAGACACGGCGAGGCCACAGGAAAACGAGAGACTTGAGACGAGACACGTGGGCGCAGAAAAACGACAATTTCGTAAGAGACATCCTCCAATTTTGAAACTTTCGACCCGTAATCAAACAGGTTGGAATGTCACAAAGTGCCACGCCTGCCACGCAAAACGACATGACAACCTGCTTGAAAACATTCGAAAAGGAGAGATTTTGTAACTTCCCCCATAGACACGGCGAGGCCACAGGAAAACCAGAGACTCGAGACGAGACGCGTGGGCGCAGCAAAAAGAGCATTTCGTGCGAGACGTCCTCCAATTTTCAATTTTTATAGCTTTAAAATCGACGTTTTCCGACGAGTTTTCTCAGGAACATCTTAATTTGCTACCTCAAAACCTATATTTCGTGCGAGGCTTTCGTCAATTTTCATCGCATCTCACAAAATGCCACGCTTGCCACGGAATTTGCACCTTGTCGCCACTTGACGCAGCCTTGACAATGCAATTTGCAAAAAAAAGGCAACACGACACATCTGAAGTGCTGCAACTGCCACGCAAAATGACGCTGGACACGTCTAAAGTGCTGCGCCTGCCACGAAAACGGCAACGCATCTTCGGAAAACGTCGCAAAAGTATTGTGCCTGCCACACAAAACGACTTTCGACACGTTACAAAACACGTCTGAATGTCACGAAGTGCCATTTCTGCCACGGGAAACGAAGCAACGAGACGTCTGAAACCTCCAAAAATGAGCCCTTCTGGAGAACTTACCATAGGCACGGCCATACGGGGATCGCGCGAACGGTTGCGAACGGCTGCGGACGGTTGCATGACGGTTGCGAACGGTTGCGGACGTAAACGCAACGTCGAGCGAACACGCCCTCAACCCGCAGACCCCCAGAGTGAAACGGGAACCCTTGCTACGCATTCGGGAAAAACAGACACCAAAAAATTAAACCAATTCGAAAACTAACCCCAAACCAACCGGTGAATAAAGCAAACCTAAACCAATCCTAAATGAATCCCAGGTGAACATGAACAGTTCGAGCGCCAAAGTGTTGCAAATACCACGGACAATCAGAGGTTCGAACTCCAAAATGTTGCAAAATGCCGTTCAAATGGCAGTTTCCAGCTCCAAAATGCTGCAAATAGCAAGGGAAACAGACAGGACAGGAGATCCAATAAAAGATCCCAAAACGGAAGATTCCCAAAACAATTCCAGACCTTGCTGGAATATGATGTTTCGATTCAACATCGGCCTCAATTTGAACCCGCCTGGACCCACTTGACTCCAACTTGGGCCAAAGTTGGGTCCAACACGGCGCTGTTTGGACAAACGCTAGATGACAGGGTGCAGTGCAGGGTTTTTCTGAGTACGGTGCTGCGTACCTGCCGTACCCCCCGTACCCACTGCACCACCGTACCTCTGACCGTACCCTCAGGCCGTGCCACCCTGTCGTACCTTGATTTTTGAACAAACATGCCCTTGCCGAGAGCATTGCTTTCGAAACCAGATAAAAAACATTGGTTCATGTGCCAAAAATCGCCACATGTTGAGGATGCATTGGTTCATGTTGCATGCATAAGTATTACAAACAGTTACTTGGAAAATGTAGAACGTTTGTGTTTTTGATTTGTTTTCGGTGCCTGTGCCGCAGCCTTGACATGAGTGGGAACAAACCAACACTGCACGACATTGCAATCTATGACGTTGAATTCTTTCAGTCTTGGTTGAATTTTATTGGTTTTTGGGGTTTTGGGTTGTTCACGTTACGTTTGATAAGATGCATTTGCCAACCACTGAACCGCTTGATGTGAACTGTGCAACAGCATTTCAAAATTTCCTGCATGGCGCTTGACCGTGCGCTCTTGGCGATACAAAGTATGCAACCCAGCTTTCTTCAAATGTGTCTGCATTTGGTATCATTGCATTTTTATTATATTTGGCCACGCTGAATCGAACGATTTTTGTTGTGTCAGCCCAGGCCTGGAAGGAAAATTGGATTTGCGATTGGATGCCGAATCAATACGGATCGCCAAACTCATCAAGGAGGAGTGCCCCATGTTCGGGATACAGGGCAGGCGCTTGATGATTCATTTGTTCACTGTTGCCAGGATGATTTGAACGCATATTCAGTTCTTCAAGGGGTGCCAACGGCAGAAAAGAAGGCCAGTGTGGCTAATGATGAATTTAGCAGTGCTCTTTGTGTTGCAAGTGCATTGTAGTTGTAGTTATGCATTGTACGGATGAGCACCGGAGTATGATCTTGTCAGGCTCTTGTCGAATTGTGCGCTTCACTGGACATTCTCGACAAAGCGATGGGTGCGTTGTGCGGAATGGCAGTAGGTGCCCACCGATGGTGTGCTGGATGTCTTCCATTGTTTTCCAGCAAGTCTCCAGTTTGAACCAATCTCATTGATGTTGCTTCCAAGGTGACGCTCTCGGACATCCCTTTGAGTACATCACCGTCACTGACGAAGAAGGAACATCACACTTTGACCTCGCCACTTTGGAATTCCATGGTGAGTTCAACAAATTTGCTTGCAAGAGGGGCCAGTGGACGGATGATGCTTCCATGGGTTTATGCATGGCGGATTCGTTGATCATTTGTAGACGTTTCGATGGAAGTGACATGCGGAGACGCTTCTGGTGCTGGTGGTTCCGTGGCTACAACAACGCCTTTCGGAAAGACGATAGCCGCGACTCAAAGAAGTCCATCGGCCTTGGGGGAAATACGCAGAAGTCCCTGGAACCGCTTGAAACTTTTGCAGATGGAGGCGGGGACATGGCACTGAGGTGAAAAAGGCACAAGGCATGACAGAAGCATGACAGAGGCATGCCACAAGTTTGTGATGCTTGCCCCGGTGCTGGGAGAAATTCATAGCGGCATAGCGGAAGTCGACCATTTTCGCTTCGATGTGAATTGAGGTACGAACTGATTTCCCACCAAATGTCACGGTGCAGATAGTCCTGAGGCATTGTTCCCCCGGTGTACGAATCCGCCAGTGACGATGCTGGCAATGGTAGTTTGATGAGGTGCCATCCGAGTGATTCCCGTGTTGGATACAGTGGTTCAAACCCCTGCATTGCCTTTGTACTAGTGCTGGGTTTGAATCAACGCTGGTAGGAAAATGTAGGAAATAGATCACATTGACGTTGAGGACTAATGATGATGCATTATTGAAATCTTGAATGTGTGTCTCCCACGGTGGCTATACATAAGACCGGATGCTGTGTGGTCAAGCGTTTCCTCATTCAGAAGTTGATGACGGAGCAGGTTGGCGCCTGTCCCTATCTTCTGCCACTCAGCCGACTGCAAGACACTTCACAGCGCCGATCTTAGGAATCTTAGGAGGATCTCCACTTCTTTGAGAAAGAATATGTAGGCTGTACAGGGAGAGATCATGAAGTGAGTAGTGTGCTGATCCGATTTAGCCGAGGTTTGGCCCGACAGTCATCTGTGACAACTCATCCAGGATATGTTGCAGGTGAGTCATGTGCTTTCTTCTCTCACCTTGCTGGGGCCTTGTAGCATGGCTCTGGTGATGTGCCAGAAGGATTTGATTCATACTATGTCAATTATGTCAACCTTTGTGGAATGCATTTCCAAGGTGAGGAAGGCACTTTATGTCCCAAGAGGTTCAGTCAGCATCAAGGAGTTCCTGGATGCTGCAGCTGAGGAGTCTGCGATTTGTGGGCCGCTCTTGGTCCAACTCTTGGTGTGTTCAACTGCTGCAACCTCACAGACCTTAAAATGCAGGACTTCTACCAAGCGTCTGGCCTGGCAGATCGCAGTGGTCCTGGTGCTGATGAGATGAAGTGGCAGCCTGGCAGGGATTCAGCAGTTCTAGAACTGAGGTTGGCCTTGCCTTCTGAAGAACGTGGGTCATACTTAGACGCAACATTTCAGGTTCCGTGAGGTCCACGCCAGATTGCATGTCACCAGTCCTACACTCTGCAGGTCCGTTAGCAGGCGTGTGGAACTAAGTCTAGTTACAGTAGTGCCCAGGCTGCAACATTCCAAGGCTTGTGACCTCCAGCCCGGTGCAAGACACGGAGCGGTGCTGGAATTGGAAGAATGAGACCCTGGACATTGCAGGCACACTGGCCGCGCGTGGTTGGAGCTACAACGGATATCCCGTTTCTGCAGACTATTTCGGATCATACTCGTTGCTTGGTCAGATTGATCCCAAGCGGCCCAAAACTCTGAGAATAATGTCAGGCATGCACCGTCAGGTCCCTATATTTGTTGTAAGCGGAGGCGGACCCAGGTATGAAGGAATGTCAGCTAGGATTACAAAGTACAAATTTAGCAGATAGAGGATTGTAATTGATGGTTGCAACTGAAGCAGCTCTTTCAACTGGACGAACCATTACACTCCTGCAACCAAGGCTTGATGGCTTGGCTGGTGCTCTATGGGCAGTATATCACACCAGGCTTTCTGCATCCAACAGATTTTGCCGGTACTTTTTCTCACTCATTTGCCCACCTCCCTCGCAGGTCGTTTGATGAGGCTGTTGTCCGGGCAGTAAATCTCAATGGCGATGCGGACAGCTTTGGATCCATGGCAGGTGCCCAACTGTCGGATATGAAATGCCACGAATAGATGAACGCCAACTTTGAAACCAGGGATGAAACTCAGATGAACAACTGAAACGAAACACACACACACATATATATGTATATGTCATTATATATATATATTATATTATATTATTATATTATATATATATAACATGTAATATATTGTATATATATATATTATCAATACACATACATACATACATACATACATACATATACATACATACATACATACATACATACATACATACATACATACATACATACATACATACATACATACATACATACATACATACATACATACATACATACATACATACATACATACATACATACATACATACATACATACATACATACATACATACATACATACACACACATATATATATACATACATACACATATATATATATATTTAAATTAATAACTAAATATTATTTATATAAAGGTATATATATATATATTTAAACAGATAAAACTCACTTTGCTTAAGATTCTGTTCTCCCATGTTTTCCCCTCAACCCTGGTCCTTGAGGTCAACTTGCAGGAGCTTTCTATGGCTTCTCTTCCATCAACAGCCAATTTGTTGAGTGGCTTGCGAGGCGGGATGCTGCCATAGTGTAATTCTGGATTGAAGTTCAGGAGAATGAGGCAGGAAACGTTTTTGGTAGGTGGGATGACTATGAAACGGCGGTTCGCGCCCTGCTGCTGTACAAAATTGGAGCGGATGTTCAAGAAGCCGAATGACATGGACCAATGGACCTCAGCATTTGCACTCCGCTTGAAAAAAGTCTTCGTGCCTGCTGTGGACATCTGTGGACTATTGATTTTTGCAGTACCTATGATAGGTCAAGCTTTGTCATAGGTACTGCAAAATGAAAAAATAAACCCTCCCAGATTTCCGATCCTGTCATTTTGTCTCAAACGGTGCCGCTGGTGCCGGGGCCTCCTAGCAGGCTGCCTGTTTGCTGAGAGACTTTGGTTTCTGTGTTTCTGTGAGCATGATGCGGGATTCGAATGTGCCGTTTTGTGCACAGGTCTTTTTCTGGGTTGTTTGCGGGTTGCCTGCAAGTTGCTCATGGTGAGCACCTTTGCAAAACAACTTCGGGTAATGACGAAATGCATCCATGCAGTTCGTCAGCTAGTTTGCGATGTTGCGCAAGTCATCGGCAGTTGTCCGCAGTGAAGTCCGTCCCTGCATTTCAGTTTTGTATCGGGGTCATTTTCGGTTTGGAGAAGCACCACTTGGGCAGGATCTTGCCTGAAACCCTGCACCTGGACGAAGAGGAAAGATCAAATAGTGGCGCATCACCATGACAGCCGGAAGATTCGAGAGGCTTGTTGTGAATGGTGGCATTGGCATTTCAGACCAGAAACCGAATCGGGAATCAAGAGCTCAAAGAATTCCATTGAACATGGTTCCCCTGACGTTCTATCCTTTCTCTGCTTCAAGGCTCAAAACCATGCCGGTGAGATGAAATAAGAGATGCTTTCAATGTAAGGTGCACTGCTTTCTTGTTTTTGCTTAGTGGATGTGGTTTATCGATGTTTATCGTTTAAAAGACCAGCTGTGAGTGTACTACATGCTGAGCCAGGCACAAACGGAAATCTTCGCCTTGAAAGATCGGCGTTCGAGCTGCGACTCTGCCCAACCCATGATACAGGCCGCGTCTGCCGCGTCTGCCACTCCCAAAGACTGTGAATCCCACCCCTCATCCACTGGGACGGCATTTGAAAGTTTGGAGAAATCGGATTGGCATGTCCAGCTGTCCAGCTATGTTACATCAATCATGATTCATGATATATTCTGATCATCATGCTCGCAGACCCTGCTGACCAGAAGCTGCTTTGGCTCAAGGTCCCATGCGCAGGAAGTGGCTGTCCTGCGTTGACCGCACTCGGGGGGGTCTGGTTATTCGCGTGCTTCAGTTCAACATCTTGGCTGACTCCCTAGCAGATGGCGCTGAAAACTCCGGCCAGGCATTGCCTGCAGCACACCTGTGTGAAACTGGTGCTGCGGGCTGTCACTACCATTTTCAGGCAGAGAGCCCATGTCACACCTTCAGGACGTCAAAGTTGAATTTGGACTGGGAATACCGAAAACCGCAAATCTTGGAGATTCTACGGCAAGCCAATGCTGATTTGATTTGTTTGCAGGAGGTCGACTGTTTTGGCGATCTCAAGGCTGCCCTTCAGAGCTGTGGCTTTCAGGGTAGCTTTTGCAAGAAGTCCTGGAGGAAAATCAAAGATGGCAGTGCAGTCTTCTGGCGCCAAAAGCTGTTGACGCTTGTTGACCGGATGGCTTTGCGGGTTCTCCCTGGAAGCGCTATGACAGCGCTATTTCTACGCTTGGCCACGTGTGATGGGAAGCATGTGGTGGTATGTGCAACCCACCTGAAGGCAGGATTCTCGGTTGAGATGGAAGAGCATCGCTTGGCGCAGGCCCTTGCCTTGCAAAAACATCTACAGAAATTTGTGGGTGACACAGATGACACTCCCATCATCTTGGCAGCAGATCTCAATGCTCATCATTCACCCTATGCGCTTTGCACTGCGGCCGTGTGCAATGATCCTCGAGCAGTGGTTGAGCCGAAAGCCATCCGTGCATTTCTCGATGGTGGGTTTCAAAGCGCGTATCCAAAATTCCCATCTTTCACCGCTTGGTCTGGATGGCTGGATCGTGATGTAAAAGCCAACCTTGATTATATTTTATTGAAAGGACCTGTGCACACTCTGGGCGTTTTGGAGGGCCCTGACGAGCAAGCAGTCTCACATTGTGCAGAACTGCTTCCAAATGAACATTGGCCATCCGATCACATTCACCTGTTGGCAGATGTTGAAGTCTTCTGATTTTTTGGAGCAAAATAACTTGACATAATGTCACAAAAATCGAGACACGCAGATCGCACATGAACTCGACACCGGTAGAACAAGATGCTCGCAGAGACAGTAACTAGACTTCATCATTCAGGAAATTTCGGTTACATTTTCCCAGACTTTTCGGTTTCTTGATGATTGTGAACCACCTCACGTCCTTGCTTCCCCAGCTTAAGAGCGACGTGAGGGGGGGGCAGGGCGGAACAAAAAATCACAAGATTTCGTGGCACAGTGTTTGAACAGACAGAAGGGCATTGCTGCATCGGCTCACAATGCAAAAATTTCGCATCGACCCCTTTCGTTTCAGCCTATTAGGATTGATTGTGCAGTTTCGAGGCTTCTGCTATGACATTGCTGCGCACCATTTTCCGAGTTGTTCAATCAGTCTTGAACCACTTGAAATGTAGAACTGCAGTGTGTGCGAATCCGGGCAGGCTTGTCATGTTCAACGACGTTTCCATCAGCTTGCCCGCCAAGGCACGGTCATGGAGGTTGTCTGAAATTCACCAGGATTCAATTTTTGAATTCCATGAAAACGATGAACACGCACAGTAACTGAGTAACTATAACTGTTTGAATTCTATTACGAATAGTCTACACTGTACAAATGTAATGCCATAGCATTTTGTTTGTTAACTTCTTTTCAGGTGCGTGGCCCAGAAGCTGAAGAAGAATGGGAAGAGGTCCAGGGGTCGGAACCGTGACTTGGGTGTTGTTCGGCATAGCTCATGAAAACACAGACTAGATGATCCAAGGTGCTTGAAAGTGTTTGGGACACCCAGTATACAATGAAACAAAACATGCATGCAATCTTTGAACCACGTCATTTATTGCTTGTTTTTTGTCCCTGGCAACTTCGCGTCTGTGTTTTTGCAGGTGGATTGGGTGACGTGGAGCACTGGATCAGTGACGGTCGAGACAGAGTTCCATTCCTGGACGGTTTTAATTTTTCTCATTGCACTGCGATCGTTTTTTTGGTGAATCCTAAGTCTGACTCATCAACAACGCAGGATTCAGAAGTGCGCCCACACACATTTTAGCGTTACAAACCACATTTGTTGACGTTGATAGATTGACATGATGAGTCACAAATGCATTTGTTTTGGTCTCCAGGTCATTTCTCATACTCTTCAAGCCGGCTGGTGGCGGCAATGTGAAGGCCCGCAAACCTGGAAAACCACATCCACAATTACTGCATACCTATAAGATCTATAAGGTTTAGGTTAGGATTGTGCATTAAGTTTCCCTTTGCAGGGTTGTTGTTTTCACATCCAGGCTAAGACTTTGGGCAATCTCGTCAAGGCCACAACCGCATTGTGCTCAGGATTGAGATGGAAATCAGATGAAATGAGTACATTGTGCGAAGTGAAGTGTTTGGTTGCAACCATTTTTCCTTTCAAACAGGCTTATGGATCGACATGTATTTCATTATTTCTTATTATTTTGAATGTTTTCGCACGAATTTAGTTTTGGATATTTGAGTTGATTTTGGTTCGAAACATCTATCCACACACTCTGAGGTCATCCAAGAAGACCAAGATTCGAAGACTCTGATCGTCACAACTTCTGAGTATCGATCTTGGTGAAGGGAATTACTATAATCATAATTTAATCATAATCATATGTGAATTACGTGATGAATCACGTGATTTATTTCAAATCTGAAGGGCATTCTTGTGCAGGTTTGAACGATTGTTGACTCAATGCTGAGGTCATTGCACAAAACGTCCGATACTTGGGAGAATTTCTTCATGTGCCATTCGGTGAAGTCACTTGTCTTGGGTTCATACTGAAATATTTGCTGCTGTTGTGAGGTTTCGCATGACATTCTCGAGCCGAACCCAGCACAGAACCGTTGCAACTTTTGAAATGTGATGCTAAAAATATGAGTGGAACGGCTACGCAACAATTCATTTTGGATCAGTTGCTTGTCTTGAAGGGAATCAAGCGGTTTCCACAATATATCGCAGAACAACGCTTCTTCACGAGGACCGGGGCAGACACAGCCGATTTCCTGGAGCTGGCAAGTCGAGCGGAGCAAGTGCAAACCCCGGAAATACATTGTGGTGAACCACTTTTGAATCACTTTTGCCACATTGCTGTCCATTTGACTTTTGAAACCTTTCGGTCCTTTTTGAATCATCCCAGCATCTTGCTTTGCCCTGCTGAATCACGCGTTGAGGCTCATGCAGCAGCCAGCAAGATGCAGGCATCACTGAATCACCATCAAGAGACTATACAATACAGACATCCAGATGCCCTAAATACCGTACCATACAGAAATACCTTCAGCACATGATGACTATGGTGACTATGGGCCATCATTGGGAAAATGCAGGTGATGTCACTGGGGGATCTACAGCAATGCTGGGTTTCACAGGATTTTCTTCAAATGTTCACTGAATTCTGCGCAGGACACACACGGTGTCGACCCTTCCTCTGAAGCTGCAAGGCTGGAGCAAAGCTGACATGACTTTGTTGCATTAACTGAAAGGTACACTCATAAAGGTGCACTTATGATGACTTATGCCATGGCATCTGGTGGGGCGGCAACCGTGTGAAGACAATGTGGTGTCGATGGATACTGGTGAGTTTGGTACCGTGCAGCTTTGCAGCTTCAATTGCTGCAGATTGGAGTCCAGCCTCCGGACAAAGCTGGCAGACCGATGGCCTCTGATCTTCACAGGTGCAACGGTCCGCCCTTTGCCCTCTGGCCACTCTTCACTCTATCCATCATACAATAAGAATCAATAAGACCTTTAAAGGTGGATTCACATGAGGATACCCCAAAATTGCAGGAAATGATCAAGCATGAGACTGAGAGTTTTTATGGTACATACCCTTTTTTGTCAGTGATTGTCAGATAAACCCACATCAAGTTGGGGTCGTTTGCGACCAGCTTGAGACCTGAGACCTGGCCATAGGCGCGGAACTCTATGGCCCAGATCCCCACGGTGAAGCTAGCACAGAGGTGCAGGGTTTAGGGCTCTGAGTTCTTCTGTGTAGAAAAATCACAGGCTCCAAGTGCAGAATCAGAACTTGGAAAACACGTGGGAAAGTTGTTCAGATTAGTGCGCAGGTTCACTCAATTCGTTTGTTGGGAAAAGGGGCAGTATTTGCCGCGGATGTATTTGTTGATTTTGTTGGTTCGCTGCCACTTGGCTCAGGTCTTGTTGGGCCGTGGGGCCGATTCTTGGATGCAAGCGATGCATGGCGTGCGAAATGACCTGATGACCCCATGACCTTTGACCGAGGTAGTCCTGTTGGATCCTCCTGAGACCAACAAGGCGTCGGCTCAAGAGCATCCAACAGGAGCATCCAAGACGTTTATATTTTGTTTATGTTTTGTTGGCGCTGTTATGGAGCCATGCCATGATTATCGCACCTGAAGGTGGGCAGCTATGAGCTGTTGTTCTACTGCGAAGATGAGGATGATATTTTGCTGATGGGGTTTTGTTGGCCTTTCACCAGTCACCAGTCACCAGTACACTGAGTACACTGTCTTGGTGGCATGTATTTCCATGGACGCAGTCCATGAGGCACTCTTTAAACTGTCAGTTCCGCAGATTGGCTTGAGACCAAGAATTGTGGAGACGTACCACCAACTACAGTAACTACAGTGACTACAGTTATAACGGTACAATTGGTGGTAGCAGATGGAAGCATCATGGTTATAATTCTGTCGTAAGAACATTATTTGCTGACCCTGAACAACTCTATGAATCTACAGTAGTATAGATTTGAGAAGCACTGAGATACCGCCCCAATCCCAGCACAGCCAAACATTACATGGAATGCAGGTCTTTACAGTCTGTTTCATTTGTTGTGAGGGATTGGTTCGGTCCGTCCTCTGTCCTGACCAACTTCATGCGTGTCTCTCACTGTCTCTCAGTTGTAGGTTGCGGGTAGTATTTTAATGTATTTTACACACTGCTACAACGCCACAACATCTCATTGCAGAAGAATTATTGCCAAACAGTGCCAATGCCCTGTGCGGAACATGCGCTGGGGCCGTCTGGCCTTGGCCTGAGAACATATCTTCGGGTCCCACAGCGGTCAACGGCGTGACATTGCGCGATGCCAAGGAGAATTGGCGATGCACAAGCCGGCAGGTGATGGGTTGAGCATGGTTGAACTCCCATGACTGATTCATTGTATGTGCATCATGTCAGGACATTTCAGGAATATTTCAAGATTCATCCTGGAATCAGAGAAAGCGGTCGGCCGTTTGCGAGGAATCTATCGGCAGTGCGCTGTTCAGCCAAGCAGCTTCCTGTTTCAGAGGTGTCTTAAGGGAAAACTTAGAGGGTGTTTGAACTTGGAGAGTTTTTGAACCGGGGGGTTTTGAACCGGCCTTGAAGGCTCTGAGGTTCGTCGGCAAACGGACCAGATTTCATTAATCTTATATAGTCGTGAGAATGTTTTGCACTATTAATATAATATATAATATATGATATATAATATATTATATAATATATTATATAATATATAATATATGATATATGATATATGATATATGATATATAATATATAATATATAATATATGATATAATATATGACATATATGATATATAATATATAATATATGATATATAATTCATAGTATATAGTATATAATATATAATATATAATATATGATATATAATATATAATATATAATATATAATATATGATATATAATATATAATATATGATATATAATATATAATATATAATATATAATATATGATATATAATATATAATATATATAATATTATAATATTGTAATATATAATATAATATATAATATAATATATAATATAATATATAATATAATATATAATATAATATATAATATAATATATAATATAATATAATATAATATAATATATAATATAATATAATATATAATATAATATATAATATAATATATAATATAATATACATACATACATACATACATACATACATACATACATACATACATACATACATACATACATACATACATACATACATACATACATACACACGTATAACATCCTATAACAGGGTCAGTCACATGTCAACTCTTTGTACAAAGCCACCTGTCTCTTTTCCCTCTTCTGCGGATCTATCACCCTAAATTTCAGCTCCTATTCGCCTAGCTTTGGTGGTGTGAGTGCAGCAACGTAGTGGCTTCAAATGCAGATTGGAAGGTTTCTAGAAGAATTGGATAAAATCATTGGATCAGTCGGCGGCTTTCAATGCCCAACGGCCAGGAAAGGAACCATCAGTGGCAGGCGTGGTGCCACGGCTTCATGTCCGACTGTCCTATGTGTTTTGTGTTGGCATGGGACTGCAGGCCAGACTACACGTACAAGGCCTGGGCCCAGGAGGCTACAGCCTCAGATCCGGATCACCCAGAAACAAAAAATATTCGCTTGTGAAACATTTTCTATGTAGCATGGTGGAATATGGATGAATATGGTGGAATGGTCTGTTGGGAAAGGTAATTTTCCGACGGTTCGCTGCAGTTCACTCTGTTTCTCAAATGATTTCTGAAGATTTCTTCAGATCATTTGACCCATACATGAAGATTCGCAAACTCACAGAATTTGTGTGGGAATGGAAGTAGTGGATGGATTTTTCGGTTTTGTGCCATTAGGTTTGTCCGGGACTTTTCGATATCACAATCCATCTAAAGCCTACTTTTTGTCCCCCAAGTCTTTGGACACTACAAACCTTTTCACAGCTTGCGTACCGAAGAGCTTCCGGTGTCCAAGGCAGCAAATGCTGCAACCGAAGCCATGAAGACTGCTCGTCAGTATCTTAGACTCGTCGATTTGAAGAGATGGGCCGAAGTGAAGGAGATGAAGGGTGCATTTTTTGCTACAGGGAACAGAAAACAGACGAATGCAGACAGAACGATCATCGCATGTGAAGACTCCGACCATGGCTGATATGCAGGTGCTGCGGAACTTGCAGCCGGGCAGGTGGGACATGCTTTGTTTCAAAAAAGCGTTGCTGATGGGTTATGGAAAGTTATTATTCTGCTGTTATTCTGTTAGTAACTTTCCATCATGTCATCATGTCTTTCAACCTCTTTCAACCCAGGCCAGGAGATACAAGTACTTTGCAAAATCAGCGAGGGATGCCGCCCAAAATGCGCCCGGACTCCTGGGATGGACATTTGATATCATTTGAAGGAGTTAGTCAATGTGTTATGAATTGTGCGATTTGTGCGATTTGTGCGAACTTAATGAGACCCGCGGCAGGTTTTTCACGAAAGTCAGCGGTAGCTAGCTGGAGTTTATTCTTGGTTTAGCAAGGGACGGGCAGCTCTGAGTCCAAAAGCGATTTTTTCCCAACAGCGTAAGCTAATGGGGTCTTCAGCCCAGAATAGCTCCGGTGTGCACTGGTGCAGGCGCCGGGTCAGGTTCAACAAGGTTCCGGAGAAGGTTCCGAAGGTTCCGGAGAAGGTCTTTGGTGCGGAGACAGCTCAGGTTCAACAGGGTTCCGGAGAAGGTTCCGGAGAAGGTTGTCGGAGATGCAGAGCCAGGTCAGGTTCAACAGGGTTCCGGAGAAGGTTTCCGGAGAAGGCTCCAGGAAGCCTTGGTTCAACTTGGTTCAACAAGGTTCTGGAGAAGGTTCCGGAGAAGGGTTCCGGAGAAGGTTCCGGAGAAGGTTCCAGGAAGCCTTGGTGCAACGCCAAGTCAGGTTCAACAGGGTTCCGGAGAAGGTTCCGGAGAAGGTTCCAGGAAGCCTTGGTGCAACGCCAAGTCAGGTTCAACAGGGTTCCGGAGAAGGTTCCGGAGAAGGTTGCAGAGAAGGTCCCGGAGGAGGTTTTGAGAAAAAAATGTAAAATAAAACGTTGCGACAGTTGGGGATACCACCGAAGCTTGTTTTTTCCATTTTATGGAAATGGTTGACTATCAAGATCCCATGATGTTTCCAGGCTCGTGTGAACCTTAGCCTTCATGCATCCCTCCGGGCCTCAAGTTTGTGTGAGGTTGAAAGAGATGGAAGGTCACCTCGCAAAGGATCGAGCATTGCTCTCAGTGTTGGCAGCGACAGATCATGCAGAGAGGTTCTTCATGATGTGAAACCATTCCTGCCGCAAGTCATCCACAGAGCACGCCTTTGTTTGCACGAAGTTCATGTGCGCTGCAGGGATCCAACTCACGTCTAAGGCTGACCCAAAAAAGATGCACATCTATTCCGCAGAGACTCCCGTGTGGATGTTGGCACTTTGGTGGATATTTGTGATGAAATAGTGAATTTCTTGACTGTATGCAACAGCTGCGGAACGTTTTGGTTTGCCTGGGGTGGTAAATGTGCCATATTCATCCATATGCAGATGTCCAAACATCACCTTTGGATGTTTGATGTTGATGATCTCTCCAACGGGTGGTGTTTCAATTGAACTTCGATCAGATTTGAGACATCGTAGGAACAAATGGTTTGATTTTGCTGAGGCACTTTCCTCTGGATGTTGCGAGGTTGGAGCATATCTTGGGGATTCAACAGCACTTGCACACAAACATTGAGCGAAGGAGAGACTGTACAGTCCCAGAAGGAGAGAGAATCAATCACTGGAACATTGCGCAGAAAGCCTGCTTAAGATGCGTCCTGATACAGGTTCGTCGCACTGTGCGAGACTCGGAGTTTCTCTAGCCTTGGGGGATGCAATGCCACTGTACATAGCTCACAACGACATCCTGGAAGCAAAACCTGCTGCGAGTGCACTCGGCCAAGCCTCAGTAGACTGCTGGCTGTTCAAAGGGTTTGTTTGCATTTAACCTTTTGCCCCTCCATTTGCCTGTCCCTTTCCTCCTAGCCCTAGCTGCTGTCGCTTTGCTTTTCACGGCCCCACTCTCCTCGTTTGCAACGTATTGTCACAGTGCCATTTGATTTGAAGACCTGCTCCCTCATTGGCATGGAATCAGACAGAGAGAGTCTTTTTGCAAACAAAGGACCAGGTTTCTGATGGTCCAGGATGGGAGAATTTATTCGTACATGCGCCAAATGTCACCATGCTCTGCTACTATCAATATTTACTGGAGAATTTTCAGAAAACATGCTCTGCACCTCGCACATAATCCGTTTAAAGAGATGATCTGAGATGATCCAATGGTCTTGGGCATCCCAGCTAGAAGTTTAGAAGAAACATTTTTCCCTGTTTAATTACTGTTTGCAAGATTTTGCAAGACGTTTTTTTTTTGGCGATCTGACTTGGTCCACATGTTCATCTGTCAAGCATGTGGCAAGAGGCGTCAGGTTCTTTACTTCCTTCGGCACAACGCAGAAAACAAACCCTTTCTTTCCGCAGACATTTCAAGAGGTCAGCGGTTGAAGGATTCCAAAAGGACGCTTACTGCATGGATTTGCAGATTTGCATGGGAAGACACTTCAAAATTCAAAATGAGCTTTACCGGCTTTACCTGTCAAATCGCAAAGAATGAGCAGTGACTCTGAAGCCTTGCAACTTCCCAATATCAGCTGCACCCAAAGAATCTGTCAGCAATGGCAAGTCCGGTTCGATCATTGAGATCAGCCAAGGACGCCTTTGACTTGCTGATTGGTTGATGGATCAAAGTGCTTTGTTGAGTCTTGGGAGGTTTTGGAGAAACTGTTTTGATTGGTATACTAACTCTGTCCCTGACAAAGGACTTGCTGTTTCAAAAAGTTCGGACCATGAACACCATGAGCAATCTGGTGGGAACTTGTGCTCCGATGCGGCAGGCAAAGGCTGGCAAAGATGGCAAAGTCGTATCACCGAAGAAGAAGGCTTTTCACTTCAAGCTGGGAACTGATCCTGATGAGCCTTGGCACTGAGCAGCAGCGAGGATTTCACCCTGTTGGAAGTGACTGCACACAGCATCAACGTTGCCGTGAGCTTGCTGGGCTTGTGGGGAAACTGGGAAACCAAGGATGCGCTGAGTCCAAAGCTGATGCAACTTCCAGCAGGAGCGTTTTCAGGTTTCTTCGGAAGTGCACTCATGCCCCCAAACGAGGAAGCTGCAGGTGCGATCGTGCAGCGCTTGTGTAGAGGCAATCCAGCATTAAGCTTTGCCTGGCAAAGTTAGCAAATAGCTTGAATCAGCTTGATGCAGCTTGAGATTGGGAAGAGAAAAGCGCTGAGACATGCTGAGACCACAATGCCTTGCTTCACAAATTTGGCAGGTCGCTTTTGTACTGAAGGTCCCAAGTTGGAGTTTGGTGGACCTATGCAAGCCGACTCAGGCGAGGAATTGCAACTCTGAAATGATCGAACAAATACTATGCTGACTACGCTGATGCAAGATATTCACCAAATTGAAGATGGCTTAGATGGCTTGAACAAAAAGGTGCTCCAAAGCTTGAGCTTTACATTCTGATCGCTGCAGGTGCAGGCAACCGTGTGCCTCTGCGACAGTTTGCGGTGAGGTTGCAGAGTGCCATCGCTCAAGCAACAACAGTCCTCATAGACAGGCAGCTTGGGCTTACATTCCGATGGTCTGAGCATGAGTTTTTGAAGCCTTATACTATCTTATACTTATATATGAATACTCAATGACGTGCTAGCGTGACCTCAAGCAATTTTCCATCACCAGACCGTATCAATGCAACCAAGTCAGACTCAACGGCACTGAGAAGATTGAATGGATCCGAAAAAAAGTATCATTTTATCCTTTTGTTGGCCGCAGTAGACCTTTCGAATCGATTGCTGAGATTGGGCCCATGTTTCCTAAGGCATCAATCTCTCACAAGGCAGAGCTCAGAGTTCACGGCTACGCAAGATGAGGAGATGATAAAGCTGTCATATGGAGTTCAGGCCAGGTACGTCCAAGTGATACAGCCTGGTGTTTTAAGATGTTTCAATGTAGTCCATGTATATCCATGTTATGTTGGCACTTTTGAAACCACTTTCTTCCAGCAGCATGTGTTGTCACATGTTGTGACAACTGACACCTGCATGAGGCTGCGAGCTACAATGAGTCTTGGTGAAAGTGGAGTGTTGCGGGTCTTTGTACCTGACGCGTTGGTGCATTGAAATGTCTTCACTTCCACCAGGCTGACAAGGCATGTGCCTGCTGAGGTGCAGAAATGGGCTACTGCTCTGGGACATGGGGATGGGCCTCCTTTCAAACCGCCTCCTCCACAGACCGTTGAAGAGGCATCTCAGTGTCAGTTTTGTCTGTGTCCAAATATGTGTCCAGATAAAAAACTCTTCCAACAATTTCCAACAACAGCAGATGAGTCGTGCATATCGGCTGCAACAAACACCAGGGAACTAGTTGAACTAATTGAACTAGTTGGACGTAGTTTTTTTTCACCATATGTCGCACCCAGGCATTGGCCATGATGAATATGGCATTGCCGCGACTGGTGGTTGCTTCATCAAACTTGCAAGCGGGTTTGCGGGAGCTGGTGCCTCCAGCTGCTCCCGTCTACGGGGAGCGTATGAGTGCAGAGGAGCCAATGATGTCGTGTCACCGATGAGTTCATCATGTTGGAACATGCAGAGTCACAGATTTAACCACTTGCTGTCTTCTACTTCGAATATTTTTGAATATTCAAATATCAAATATCTTTGAATGACCACAGAAGTTGTTCAGCGAACTTCAGGAGTTGCAAGAGGCTGTAGCAGCTGAGAAGCAGGAATCAGAGCAGAGGGCTGAAGCTGAACTGAACAAACTGGGCATTTCTATCGATGAGCTCTACAGTATCTCATCCAAATAGTAGTCAAGACAGGTATGGGAGGGCATGGGTGGTGTTGGGATATGATGTCGGGAGAGTGAGGCTAAGACTCGCTGTGGGATGGAAGTCGTTGTGAGCAGGAAAACCCGGTGCTTTGTTTGATAAGATTCTGGGAGTCCATGAAGGTGTTTGTTTTGCCGTGCCACTTTGAACACTTTGGAAGCGGAAAGTGTGCTCTGCATATTTTGTCCGGGGAGTCACGGTGTGCATCATCGACAGTGCCACGACAGCTAAGGTGTTGTGCCACACATGGAGCACTGCATCAACCAGGCCAGTTGCCTCCTGAACTCCGTGGAGAGACGTGGCAGCATTGTGGGTGCCCCGCCTCCTCCGATCGTAACGGCTGAAGTGGCGACGTTTGAAGCCGAGCCCGTGCCACCACCGGTGCCACCACCGGTGCCACCGTAAAGCTGCGACAGATCAGGTTAGGTTGATGCAAAAAAGACCCAATCATCCCAAGGTGTGAAATGACATTGCTACATGTATTGCCTGTATTGCTATACTATACATTGATTAGACGCTCTAGCAAATGCTCCAGAACGTACGCTGTTCAACTCCTCGCTAGACTATGTAGACTGGCAAGAGTGTCATGTAACAGCAAACAACAGCCTTTTTCACTGAGCCTGAAGTAGAAAGAGTCTGATTCATGGAGTTACATGGAAGGCCAGCCGCTAAGCAATGTACAGAAGAGCAGCAGTCTCTGGCTGGCCTGATGACGTGTCTCCAACACGCTCAATATGAGTTGCGGAATGTCAGACTTTCTGATGGTAGAATTTGTCAAGGTTTCACCGCAGACTGAAAGGTATGGTTCTTGCAATTCGCACAAAAGAGGGGACTTTTTGCAATCCGTTAAGCCCTGTCGTGCGTTCCAATTCCTTCTGCCGACTGCCATCCCTTCTGGCCTTCAAATGTCTTCAAATGTCCAGGATTCCAAGCCTAGCCAGACGTTTGCCATCTCGCCGGAGATGTCGCTGACCAGGCAAAGTGAACAGTGAAGACAGGGGTTGGTAACTGTCCCATTTTGGGTATATTGGACATCACCTTATAGTAGCCATTATAGACCATATACCTAATGGTTGGGTGATGTTCAATGGGGACATTTAATGACCCATGGAAGAGGATTAGTGGCTTTTAGTATTTTTTTTTTCCTTTCACTTCTCGACTAAGTCTTGACTAATTCACTGTGAGAATGGCTAGAAAGAAAGTTGATTTCAACAGAGCCAGGCAAGATGATGAGGACAGGGCTTTCACCTTTCACCTTTGGCTGTTTGCATTGCTACTCGCGCATTTCACATGCTCTTGGAGAATCTTCCAGACAGTTGAAGCTGCGGCAAATCGCAATGTGAAAGGAGGGAGAAGGACTGGCAGCTTCCTACATTTTGAAGGGTCCTTCCATGAGTGCGGCAACACCTGCAAGTTTCCCTGAGTCTATGTCAACAGAAAATCACTTCAGCAGCTCCATCTGCAGAGTGGACAAGTCAGCCAGGCTCATTCCTTGTGCTTTGAGGTCTCCCACCCAGTCACTAGATGTTTGGAGTCGGAGTTTTGGGTTCGGCTGAAAGAGATGCAGAGTGAAAAAAGTATGCTGAGTCCAATGTGTTCTTGAAGATGATGTAGGAAGTCCCAATTTTGGAAGAAGTCCGTCGGAGGATGGCTCCATTGCTGGCAACTTTGTTCGCGACTTCAGAGTTCGCCAGGGCCTGATTGAGTCGAGGTGCTTTTGCTTCTTGTTGGTTTGGTTAATTGGTTGTTGTGAGTAATCATTTCTAGCGACATTTGGCAGTCTTGATGCTGTGTTGGCGCACAGCAGCTGTTGAAGGTGACAATGCAAACTGTTTCCTGAGGATCCAGACTCATGGACATGTCACTGAAGACTGTTCGAGGTTCCGATTGAGCCGTTCTGTGTTATAGAATGATTACACAGCCGCAGCAAGATCAAGCCGAAAGAACTAAAAATGACGAGGTAGCTGCAGTCCAGGGCAGTCTCTAGTCAGTGTGCTCTCATACCTTCGGGCGCTGAACAGCTGAACATGGAGAATGGCAATGGTTTTTGTCAGTAGCTACGTTTCTTTTGAATGTGTCTGAACATATCTGAACCCAGATCTGAATACCAAGTTCAGATATAGGATTGAGATGCAACAAATCTGTCTTGTCATATCTGTCCTGGAACGTGGATCCAAACATATCTGTGCAAACAGACACTTTAAGGATGGTGCCAGAGGACAATAGGACAAGTACCAAGGTTTCTGCCGGCACACAGCAGACTCAAAGTCTCTGCAGGTCGCGCGGCAGCCCAAGACCTTCGAAAAGACTTGGAGAGCAGCTTGGCCTGTTCAAAATAGTTCAAACAGGCTAACAAAGATCATGAACGATATCACATATATAATTTATATAATAGATTAATAGATGCTTTTGTCACTGAAGGCGGCTTATTTCATCTCCTTCTTGCGAACACAAGGCTTGAAGCAAAGAAGTCTAGCGGCACAAGCATGGACAGTCATCCGTTATCTCCTGAGCAAGTTGTATTGTAACTTGTGAAGCGAAGAGTTCACTGTGTGGCGGTGAGTGGTGTAGTTCGCTGATGTTTGCTGCAATTGATCAAGTGTTTGCCTTAGTTTGCCAATGAACATAGTCTGATTCAATCCTCTTTCCAAGGGCTGCTGCTAGTTGTTGTCTGTGCCTCATCCATTTTCCACTTTGACGCAGTTGGATCTTGTGATCAAACGATTCATATCATTCAGGACACAATCGGAGGTGCTTTAGAATTGAAGATCTGATGACATTTTGTCCATGACCTCTGAGGCCATTTTGCTCGTGGCTGCCAGAACAGCTCACTTGGTGTCGTCCTGCCGACCTGTTTGCCATCATGGCAAGACCCGGCCTGGTATGCCACGGGCATGATAGGCAGGACAGTGGGCGACCACCACTGCAGTGCCTTCCTCAGAGTTCAACAGGGATCGGTTCCAACAAGTTCCAACAAGTTCCAACAAGTTCCAACATGTTCCAACTTTTACAATATAGGCTAGTGATGGCTGGTGGATTTCTCATTTTCCCGTGTTTGGATCAATTTGGGACCACCAAAGACTGAAATCACCAACGAGCAGGGACAAGAAGATCACATTGGACGCCTTTCCACTGCCCGATAAAGTCACACTGGTCTGAGGTACCTGGTGACCATTGGACAAGACATTGGCAGCGCCCTCCACTTGCCTGGAGCTTATGACAAAACTTGGCTACTCGAACTTCGCTGCAATGTGCAATGTCAGACAAACCAGTCCACAACGCACAAGCAATCCATGGATTGAACGGTGCCTTCCAGAATCCCTGAAAAGCATGAAACATGCCGGGGCATGCACATTGTGATTGATGTGATTGATGTGATTTGAAGATATTTGAAGTGGAAATGTGTGACCTGACCACGCTGAGGTCCGCATCTGCCACAAGTGCTGCGGGTGCTAAGGCCATCCAACTCATGTCAACTGCTTACGGTCACAGTCCTTCGGTGGCTGGGAGTCTTGTCGGGTATCGGTGCCTTTTAAAAATGCCATGGCCGCATCGCAGCAGAAAAATGCTTGAGAACATCTGAGAACGCATGTGCCGCCACAGGTCTGCGAAGTTGCCTTTGGCACGGTGGATGCGGGTGGATTGCGGCAGTGCAGCAAGGAAGTTTCGGTCATGTTCTCAGGTCTAGCAGTTTGTCGTTCTGTCGCGTTCTGTCGTTATTTGACTGCTTCCTGAATGAGACTGTCAGGCCCAAGACATGCGACAGTGCATTGATTCGCTGGTGGGTCAGGGGCCCTGAATGCCAAGATGAGGAAATACAATGGAACATGTCCAGCCGTGGGCGCTTGTTCCAGCTACCAAGTAGAAACACATTGACATGTGGATCCACCGCTTTTGGATATTCTTCTAGTTTTGGCAAACTTAAAGAAGTGGTGATACCTTCCAAGCTTGGGTACGGACAGTGACAGGAGTTGAGACTTTTGCTACTGCTTTGAAGCTGAACGGATGCAATACTCCAGTCGCTCATCGACCGTGTGGCAAGGCTATGCACCAGCAATGGGCTGGTGAGATCTGTGGTAATTTGGGGCCAAAGTGTTTGCCAAAGCGTTTGCAAGAAGCGTTTGCACTCACCGCTCAACATTTTGTGCGACTATAGAAGATGTTTCAATTCTATGATCAGGGAATCGAGTGCGAAAGCTTGGAGTTTCTTTTTTGTGAATCTTAGCACAGTTTTCAAAATGTTGGAGGAGTGAGTGTGCTCATAGTCTTTGGCCGGAACCTGACCGCGCACATTAGCTCGGCTCTCGCCATGCAGAGCTGCCTCTCAAACTGGTGCGGGGTATTCGCTAGCACAGGCGAGCCGCTGTCAAATAGGATTTGCACTGCTGCTGACTTCAGTTGACTGCTCCATGCCTTGCTCCCAGCAGAATTGGGTATGATCGATAGTATGATGTTAGCAAACTAGACGAACAATGATGACCCTATTCCGCGGTACTCATTTGGCTCAAAGCATATTGGCATATTGCACAGGTCAACATTCTACTTTAGCCATGCTACTTGTCAGATTCGACTTATCCTTCACATGACTTGAACGTGCATTTGCGACCCACCACTCACTCGCCGGATATTACCTCACCTACAGCATGGCGGAGGTCCCAGCCTTGGTGTGTATTTTAGAGAGGTAGCCCATCAAAGCGGAGAGAGAGAAGTGGATCTTTGAGCGATAAAGTGTTACAAAATGTTATCAACTTACTGCCACTGCAAGATGTACTGCTTTTTTGAGGCAGCTGGCTACGCCCGGTACTCGAGTTTCAGAGTTGAGGTTCCATCTTTGCTGCGTTCCTTTCAGTGCCAAGTCTTCCAGAAAAGGATCAGTAGAACCAAGGCCAAGGACAGTGATTCGTGCGAGAAATGCGTATGCGACAAGGGTGGAAAGGAGGTGCGTTTTGAGCATATTTCAAATCACTTGTGAGTCTTTTTTGCTCGGAAAAGACTTCTCCAAAATTGGCAGTGATTGCTTGGGGCACCGACAGGTCGAGGACCTGGTGCCGGATGTGAAGTTCCAGTGCCCTTGCTATTGACTATTGATGGTATGTAAGTGGGCGTTCTGCGGTTGACAGCTGAAATCTGAAGGTACACACCAATGTTTCAGCATGCCCACCCTGTGGACGTTCCCTACAAGGCTTGGATGATTGAAAACCCACAGTTTCAGAGCTTTCCCAGCTTTAATGAGCATCCGTGTTCAAAGTTTCTTCGCATGTGGAGGCTCTTTAAGTTTCGGCAAACTAGCTGCAGGGAATCCACGTCCGGCAGTCCGTGCCAACTCGTAGCCGCGTAGCCCGCAGAAAGTGGAGTCCTTGAGTGCCGGTGTGACCACTGAGGAGGTCAAGGTGTGGCAAGTGGATGCATCGGGATGCATGGCTTCAGTGAAAAATTGTGATATGTAAATTTTGTAAATTTTGTAAATCACAAATTTTGTAAATTCATAATTTGATTCAATTTGTAACCCTTTTGGAGATTCTTTCATGATTCTCTCCTTAGATTCTTAGGAATCTAATGTGAATCATTGTGAATCTATGTCACTCATTTTCACTGTAAGGAATTCTTGATTGAAATTGCTGGCTGATTCCAGTGGCTGGCACCAGAGGTTGCTGGAATGGCCAAGAAGCTCATCACAGTGGAGCGGGGGAGCATGGTTCACCACCAAATCCCAAACCGCCAAACCCGCAACCCACGCTACTTGCAGAAACCATGATGAAACAGATGAAAGAAATGAATCAGGCAAACTTGACAACAATGCTTACTGCCTTTGAACTGCGAACTTGTCAAGCAATCCTGCATACCTTCTTGGCATTTCTCATATAATCGTGTGATGAGGGATCCTCTGTCCCCAAGGCCTTGGGTCTTGCGGCAACTTGCAGAGCATTGCATTACTGAAATCAGTCAGTGCCCCAAAAGGTCAAGAGATGTGGTACAGTTGCTGATGCGCTTCTGCTATGCCAGCCATTCTTCATGCTGCATGCCATATGCTTCATGCTTCATCGTGATATCACTATTGCCGTTGTTGTTGTTGATGATTGATGATGATGATGATGAAGATGAAGATTGTGGTGCAGTTGGTGGGGCAGTTGGTGATTACTATGACGATGGGAAGACCAGGTAGAGGAGTGGGGCGATGTACCGATCTGACAGTATTGAGACGACCTATGGGTGCTGCCCCGGGCTGAAGATGCAGATTTCAGGTCACTTTCTTCGACCCGGCCACTTGGGGCAGCTGGCAAAGATTTTGACAGACCCGGAGGCGGGTATCTTTGGTAAGAAAGTTGCATGGTAAAAGAATGCCTTCAATTCGTTCTAGTCTTGGGCCACACCATTGCTTCTCAACCATGCTCATTTCTGGAGTAGCCTGAACTGGTGGGGAGGGGGGCCCGGAGGGGCAGTGCATTTGAAAACGTTCTGCAGGCTTCCCAAAACGATCGCTTCACTGCGCATAACCTGCTCCAGCACCTCGGCCGAGCTGGAAATGTTTGGGGTGGTTTCCCTGTGTTTGCCACAGCGATGCCTGATATCCAAAGAATAATTTGAATATATTTGAATCAAGTGTCTTACCCCTGCATATTTAGCCATTGAAAGGCAACGTGGATTTGACGTGCACTGATGATTTGGTTTCAGCAATGGCACCTTGCAGGAATGCAGTGAAAGCGAGTGGAGGTCAACTCCCAGGATGTCAGGACTGCCTGACGATGCCATGACTAGCTTGGATAGAACTGATAGAACTCATAGAACTCACAGTGGACTTTGCATTTGCAGGGCCTGATTTGAGCTGCTTTGAAGCGCAAGTTGTGATTCTCTGTCAGGACACAGGTACTGCCATTGTCATGGGAAAGTCAGACTCTTGTACCAGGGGATAGCGTCGTGTTGCGCGTCGGTTTGTTTTCCAGCGAGAGCATCGTAATGTGTTGCACTGTTGACTGTTGCAACAAAACAAATCACTTCAATGTGAGGTAAAGTCATGTACTGATGATCAGATGTTCAAAGGCGGGGAATGACAGTCTTCACGGCTGGAGATGATGACGAGCAGCTCTCACATGGTGTCTATGATGCCTACACGAAGAGGACATCACCGCGTGTGACAGTTGATTTTGTTCCAGATGGATAGAGAGTCGATGGATTACAGCCAGTTGCATTGCAGTTTATGCAGGAACTTGCGATACTCGCAGATGGCCCCTGTGACCATGTTCGCAGAAAAGAACACCAAGTCAGGCCCTCAGTCAAAATCAGCATCCAATGCGGAATTTAGCACAAAGATCCACAACCATGACTGAGGTGCAACCTGCCAGCACAGGTGGACCTTTTGGCAACTTCAGACCCAAAGTACGAGCCAGGACACCCAGCATGTTTCAGTTTTTTTCACAGCTCAATCATATTCAACTTGCCAATCAATTTGATCTATTTGATTCTACTTGTCTATTTGTGCAACTTAATGTGTGTAGCCCAGCCCTGGTGATCGGTGTCAAGATGTGTCTAGATGTGTCGAGGTTCCTCTTCATGGCGAAGGGTGGTGGCTCCGCGAACAAGACCTACCTGTACCAACAGACCAAGGCGCAGCTGGAAGCCGCCAGGGCCACAATTGACGTGCCATGGCCAAGGCGCTGCTGAATCCCAAGAAGCTGGAGGCCTTCATCAAAGAAAAACTGTGGGGATCCGAGCACCAGAAGCAGCTTGAGGATTTTTGAAGATCTTTGAAGATCTTTGAAGTGCTCAAATCTTGCCAATTTGTCTGTGTCTTTTCGGCCAGTTTTCCCCATGACTTTGATTTGTCACTGAAGGGTGGATTGCGTGGCACAGCCTATATTCTTCATGCCCAGGCAGACGCTGGGCACCAGTGCTTGCCCGCCGTACCATGTTGCATTGGTCATCGGAGGGACCTCAGCCTTTTCCTCAGAAGCTTGGCATTTGCTATACATCAAGTTTGCTGCATTTCAATGCATTTCAAAGATTTGCCTAAACATTTGGTGTGCGAAGCACATCACAAATGGAATCTATCGTTCAACTGACTTGGCTTTCACTTGGGGTCTTGAAAAGGAGCTTGCATTCAGCTTTGCTGGCCCGTGCCTACACCAGGCAGAGGCTTGCTTGAAGACAGTTAAGCTGGCAAGTGCGAGGCACGAGCATCTGATCCCAACTGAACTTGACCCAAGTAAAAGTCTTGCTTTCGACTTTTGAACGGAAAAGGTACACACACATATATATATAATTATAATATATATACACATACATATACTATATATATATAAAGATTTTACTGTGGTGAGGTACTATGATGACCTGCCAACCTCTGGCAGTGATAGTGGAAGGGCCTTCCGTGACCTGGAATGGGAGGCATGGCCAGTTGCCTTGAAGCCAAACGACCTGTTGAGATCGAGGGGAAATCTAATCTTGGAAGATCACACTGATTACACCCTGCAGGACAAGGTGTTGAAGATTTGCCAAGATCTGGGTGTTGGTGCCCAATTTGGTGGAAAGTACTTCGCCCATGACGTTTGAAGCCAAGAGAGCGCAAGGCGGCAAGACCGCAAGGTTCCTATTCGATGTAAGACTGGAAACTTGTAAGACAGGCACCACTGAGGCTGAGGTGACTTGAGGCCATGTGCTTCATGTAATGATGAAATGATCATGTACTGATCATGTAGCAATCATGGAATGCGTAATCGGCGTAATCATCATGTGAAGTGACTTGGAGTATGTTTGAGGCACGTGTGGTGAGACTTCCACGGCCTGGCTCTTGGAGTTCTTGGAGTGACAAGGGCAGGGGCAAGTCAGTGCAGAAGTTACACATGCTGTACACACACAAACACATATCTACACAGAGTATATGTTCTTATATTCCAAGTGATTCCGTGTATAGTATATAGAACTCACTGACCCGAATTGTAATCAGGCAGACGGTTCAAAGGATCCACATGTGATTTTATGGCAACCCATGTGTTGGGCACGGCCTTTCAAGGCACGGAGCTTCATGCCCTGTTGGTCTTGGCGTCTCCTGCAGCGCTGATCGGCAGCCTGGGCCTTGGGCGCCATCTCTGATCTGAGACTGGAAAGGAAGTTGAGAGAAATTAGGAAGTTCCTAACATTCGAATGTAATACGGAATGTGACCGTCTTCCACATGGGATTGACGTCAGGATCCTGGCCAAGATCACGGCAGATGGCGTTTTTGTGGAGGAATTGGAACACAATCCAGAGCCTTGGCGGAGTCAACAAAAATCGTCACAGATGAACCTGTCCACTGAGTCGACATGACCCACATGGGCTGTTTGCACAGACCCAAAAGTCACCTGCGAAGCCAAGGCGCAATACCTGCCATCAGGACCCGTTGAAGGTCTTTCTGATGAGGCATCTGGCTCTTTCTGTCACGATAGGTCACGATGGAAGGACAGGAGGATTTGAATTGTGCCAACGATAGAATGATTGAATGACTATTTAAATTATTTATACATGTCTTGTTTATGTCTTGTTTATCAAGTTTGTCACATGCTGCGCCTTGGCCCGAAGATGTGGTGGATCATGGCGGATCATGGATCCAGCCACTCTGTGGAATGAATCTGGCAGGTGGTCTCTATCAGCTTGCAGCAACCTATGAAAGATATCCTGGGTGTGTTGACCAAGTGCGGCAACTGCAAGGGATGGAACTGAAAATCATTGAACATCTATTTGTGTCTGAGTTCGGGGGCATAAAGATTCGCAAAAAAAAGCAATGTGCTGTCAGGTACCCCATCAAGACACGGGTATCACTCACAGGCTGCAGCCAAAAGTTGACGTATTTGCATGTGCCTTTACTTTCTGTGCCCTGCCAAGCTTTGCCAAGCTGGTTCTAGCCAGCAAGATCTGTCAGAGGTCCCCTCATCGTGGCCAGAGACATTGCTCATGCCAAAATCAGCGAGATTTTCGAACAGACCGGGAAGCTTCCGCAGTATGTCAAGGCGAGGCTGGCGCTTTGTTTCGTCCTGTTGCTGTTTTTTTTCCAAACAGCGTTGCTGAGGATCACCCCATCTACTATGCTGGACCTGCTAAGTCTGCGCCTGAGAGGTCGCAACTGTGGTTGCCGGTTCGGCTGATTCCACATCTTGATGGCTGATTATGATTATTATGCCTTGTAACTGCGAGACAAGTACATGGCCCATCTTGGCCCAGATGCCCCATCATCGTCAATTAATTGTGGCAAGCCAAGGACCCCCGCAGGCTTCGCCTCTGGCTCCTTTGGTCCTACCACTGCCGGAAGTGCCAGCCTTAGCCAGACCATCTTCAAGTCACATCGCCCAGAAATGCAAGCTGGTTTCAGTTTGGATTGCGCCTAAAAACGCTTCACTTGGGAAATAGACATCGAGGGACAGAATATATGTAAATGAAATGGTTTAAAGCCATCGCAGAGCCAGACAGGGATGACATAGATTCTTGGTAGTTTGACAAAGTTAGGAAAAACGTTGGCTGACAAAAAGAGAGCCAAGGTTAGAAAAAGAATAGGCCAAGGGTTAAACAATCATGATCCAAGGTTAAACAAAATAATCATCCAAGGCCAATATCTGCCATGTTCTGAACGCACCAGGAATGGATACTTATGTTCCTATGTGGCAACCCCATGGAGCATCTTTGGTCAGAAACTCAGTGGAAACTTGTTGCAAAACACTGCCATTCGTTGGTGGATGTGGAGCAACAAGACACATTATTTTTAGATAGTCCCATGATTGATCTATGTCTCTGGCATCACGGCTCTTGGAAAAAACAGGTGACCCTCGCAAAGGGCAATCGTTCTAAGCAGGTTGGGTTGATACAGTCAAGCATTCTTGCCGAAGTTGTGGGAGAGTGTTGGGGAAATTTGCATGGTAATGCATTCGACTGATAGAATTCTACCAAAACCATCTAAAGATATCTAAAGCCTAAAAATTCCAGCGGCGGTAGGCCTGACACTGTAGGACCTGTTGGATGCGCCACGAAATCTATGATTTGGAAGGGATCATTCTTCGGCCAAGTCCAAGAGTTCAAGATAGGCTACAAAGCCAGGTCACTGATTCCTGCAAGCAATACGGGGGCTTCTACTTGGGCAGCGTGGGTGGAGCAGCTGCGGTGCTGGCAGAAGATTGCATCAAGAAGGTGGAGGCGCCACCGCCTTGCGGTGACAAGTTGAATCCTGGCAATCGACTGATCGAAGATCCCTGGGCAGTTCCCACTTTGTGGATCCAAAGAATAGCAATAGCATCCTTTGATTCTGACGATCGAAACTTGATTTACTATAATTTTACTATCATCTCATTTTGGGTCAATCCTAAGAATCTACATCAATAGCTGGGCAGTATATCCCTTGTATGACTCGGCAGTATATCCCTACATACGATACGTGGCATGCACATCAAGCACCCTTTCCATCTATGACGGGTAGAAGGTCCAAGATGGGTACCCAAATCTGATGTTTTTTTTTTAAACATTTTTTTACACGTATCCAGGCTGTATCCACAAGGGTCTTGGCTATCGGGTCCATGATGTCCAAGATGTCCATCCTTCAAGAGGTGCTGGAGTTCCCCGAGCTGGGCATGGAAGCGGTATGGAAGATCGAGGCGGCGATGTCACGGGTGTTGCCCCCGAATGATACAGCGATCCAGCACTGGAGGATACGAAGAATCAAAGAGAATCGGTGTGACTATGCTATAGATTAGTATAGATTAGTATAGATTAGTATAGAGTATAGATGTCCTTTGTCCTCATGTCCAACCGCGATGAAGTTCACTTTGTGGTGCACCTTTGTGGCTACAGCAAGTCGCTTCGCGACGACAGCCACATGGTGGAGATCCTGCAAATTCAAGCTTCAATACCTTTTCATACCTTTTAAGGGGTGCAAACAACAGTCCACCGAAGATGCAGCAGCTTTTTTTGGTTTGCATGGGGAAGCTAGCGTGTTAACAGGGCGAAAAATGTTTTAGAGAACACGACATTTTTGCTTGTTTTGTTTTGCGATCAGTAGGCCTATGCTGAGCCTAAGTTGAGTCGAAACTAAACTCTTGTTGGCCTATGCTACTCCATTTGGACCTATGTTGAGCCTGTTGTTGGGCCCGTGTTGGGGCCATGTTCAGCTTATGTGGTAGATGTTGTGGCAATGTTGGGCCTGTGTTGGGCCTAAGTTGGACCTATTTTGGGCCTATCTTGGCTAAGCATTTTGCGACCTTTTCAAACACGTTGATGAACACATGATCTAGGCGGCACCTTCGGTGCGGGCGGATTTGTAAGATGGCACACAACAAGTCTTGGGCCCAATGCCCTACCTCCACCAGCTCGCTGATTGCTCAAGGTGGAGAATTTCCCTGCTTTCATTCTGGTTGACGACAAAGGTGCCATGCCTACCGAGCACAAGCAGATAAAAACAATTATTTCATATTATTTCTGTTGTGGCACAAATCATGCGCTCCTGGGAATGATATGAGCAGACTTCAGTAACTGCATTGCCTGTGCTGAAAGGGTTTGCCAAGATCTGAGTATTCCAGTTTCAAGTTTCCATAAGTTTCCGTATATTTTTCTCGTTCATACTATTGCCTCGCACAAAATCATGGCTGCTTCAGCTGAGGCAACGATTTTTTCGCTAACTGGAACATGTGAAGTCTTCAGGCTGGGAATGACCTGTTGCTGGCACTGTCGGGCCAGTAGTAGTGACAAGCTTCCCAGCGCAACGATATCCAGAAGACCACAGCCTCCCAAATCTTGATGCAACATGTTCGCACAAGCGGTTAGGAGCAAGTGAGGAGTGTGCTATTTTGCCTTGACAAGTGACCAGATGGTATTGAGGAGTAATTTTGTGCTCTTTGGAGCACTTTTAAGGTGTGTGCCACAGCACCACCTGACTGTCGTACTTGGCTGTTGAAGTCTTTCTGCGTCTCAGCCGGGTGCCAGAGACAGTTTCGTTTAATCTTTTTCCGCTGCTAGCAGCTCGCCCTTTCCCAATCGGTTTGCGGTGAGCTGTTCACAGCTGGCCAGCAACAGACCCAATGAGTAGCGCGAACTAAAGCCCCCTCAGCCAGGTGAGAAAAAGGATCAACAAGAGTGCGTGTGAGATTACCTGAGTGAATTTAAACTGAACAATCTTGCGATTTGGTGCAGCCTGTGCATTGAAGGCTGTTGCAAAACTGCATCTGTGATTCTCTAGAAGAATGAGTCGACGTTGAGTCAGCCGGGCGAATGTCAAGACATCTTGTTTCGCCAGGGTCTCACCTTGCTTCGCATGATTTCTCGTGCAGATTTGTTGTATCTTCGCAACATTTTAAGTTCTCCAGCAGATAGGATCCCAATATTCCGCCCCTGCTCAAGCATGGACCTGGAAGACCAATGCCTTTTTGCGGGAGGGAGAGGATCGGATTCGAAACTGGCTCAAGATCTGAAACCCGGATTGGATTCTCTGGCGTTGCTGGTTGTAGTGTCAAATTCATTGGAAGCCCTCTTCAACAAACAGCCGACGCGATTTTGAACGGTTTTTCTGCGCCGGTTGTTGGCAGGACAGCGTCGATGCATCGCCACGTTCTCGTACCTGTCGTACCCATATTCCAAGAACAGCAGCTCTTTTAGCCGTGCCATGCTGTGCCAACCTCAGCTTTGGCTCTTGGCAACTTGAACGTGCTCTGCATCTCTGCGCCACATGCCACACTTGTGCCCCACATGTCTCCCATTTGTCTCCTCTGGGTGCTCTGGGTGCTCTCGGCTGCATGAATCTATGCTTGTCGCCCCTGATTGAAAACAAACTATGTATATGTAGCACATATTATATATGTTATAAGTTATATGTATGTCTATGAAAGTCCATGCCTATGCCTATGTCTATGTCTGTATGTATGCTATGGTACTTAATGTTTTGTAATGATGTAGTCTAATGTAAGGTAATGCATATAATGGTATGTAATGTCATGTCATGTTATGTAATGTAATGCAATGTCCTGCATTGTAATGTGATGTCATGTGTGTATGTATGAAGGTAATGAAATTCAATGTAATGTAATGTAATATAATGTAATGTAATGTAAAGTCATGCAATGTAATGTATGTATGTATGTACGTAATTCATGTATGTATGTATGCATGCATGCATGCATGCATGCATGCATGCATGTATGTATGTATGTATGTAAGTAATGTATGTATGTATGTATGAATGGAATGGAATGGAATGGAATGGAATGGAATGTAATGTAATGTAATGTAATGTATATAATGTAATGTAATGTAATGTAATGTATGTAATGTATGTAATGTCGGTAACGTATGTATGTAATGTATGTAATGTATGTAATGTATGTATGTAATGTATGTAATGTATGTAATGTATGTAATGTATGTAATGTATGTATGTATGTAATGTATGTAATGTATGTAATGTATGTAATGTATGTAATGTATGTAATGTATGTAATGTATGTAATGTATGGAATGTATAATGTATGGAATGTATGGAATGTAATGGAATGTATGGAATGTATGGAATGTATGTAATGTATGTAATGTATGTAATGTATGTAATGTATGTAATGTATGTAATGTATGTAATGTATGTAATGTATGTAATGTATGTAATGTATGTAATGTATGTAATGTATGTATGTATGTATGTATGTATGTATGTATGTAATGTATGTATGTAATGTAATGTAATGTATGTATGTATGTATGTATGTATGTATGTATGTATGTATGTATGTATGTATGTATGTATGTAATGTATGTATGTATGTATGTATGTAATGCATGTAATGTATGTAATGTATGTAATGTATGTAATGTATGTATGTATGTAATGTATGTAATGTAGGTAATGTAGGTAATGTGTATGTAGGTATGTATGTATGTATGTAATGTATAATGTATGTAATGTTAATGTATGTATGTTAATGTATAAATGTATGGTATGTATGCAATGTATGGAATGTATGCAATGTATGCAATGTATGCAATGTATGCAATGTATGCAATGTATGTAATGTATGTAATGTATGTAATGTATGTAATGTATGTAATGTATGTAATGTATGTAATGTATGTAATGTATGTAATGTATGTAATGTATGTAATGTATGTAATGTAGGGTTAATGTATTGTAATGTATGGTAATGTATGGTAATGTATGGTAATGTATTGTAATGTATTGTAATGTATTGTAATGTATTGTAATGTATTGTAATGTATTGTAATGTATTGCAATGTATTGCAATGTATTGCAATGTTTTGCAATGTATTGCAATGTATTGCAATGTTTTGCAATGTTTTGCAATGTTTTGCAATGTTTTGCAATGTTTTGCAATGTTTTGCAATGTTTTGCAATGTTTTGCAATGTTTTGCAATGTTTTGCAATGTTTTGCAATGTTTTGCAATGTTTTGCAATGTTTTGCAATGTTATGCAATGTTATGCAATGTTATGCAATGTTATGCAATGTTATGCAATGTTATGCAATGTTATGCAATGTTATGCAATGTTATGCAATGTTATGCAATGTTATGTAATGTTATGTAATGTTATGTAATGTTATGTAATGTTATGTAATGTTATGTAATGGTATGTAATGGTATGTAATGTTATGTAATGTTATGCAATGTTATGCAATGTTATGCAATGTCATGCAATGTTAT